GAAATTCCACACGTTGAACAATATATTAATAATAATATATTTATAATATTATCACAAGAAATTATTATTGAATATTCATCTCGGTACGGAGTGTCCTATTGTGTATTATCAGTGAAATTGGGATAGAGATAAAAAATGGGAGATTTGCGGGTGGGGAATTCCGTCTGGTTGCAGCATCAAACGAGGTGATAAATTTAACAGCTCGAGCCTCGGAGTCTTCCACAATAGCAAGAAAAATCCTCAAAGCCTTTGAGTCTTGAGCCACGACAATAGCACTGGCGGAATGTTTTGTCTCCCTCGAACACATGGAATGAAAGAAATAAGTCCGATTCGGCTTGAAAAGTCTCAGGAGTCTTAACTCAACGAAATAACTTCAATTTGTGGGACTCCAGCTGAAATTCCCACAAATTACCTTCCAATTTCGCACATCAATTTTTTCCCTTTTTTTAAATCTTTTTTTCGTGGAACCAGTGAGTGCAGTAATTAAGTAGGAATAATTATTTTATAATAAAAATAATGTAACAATTCGTTCTTCACTCCGTTATCCATTCTGGATCTTTTTGTTTAAATAATCAGTCAATAAAGTTGACTCGATGATAATGAATAACAATTGTATGATGATAATAATAATTTAGTAGGAATTAGTAAGAAAAAGCTATTTTTTCTACTAGGGTCGTAATGTTGGATTTTTCTATGAGCAATAATTTTTGGGTGATTTTGACAGAATAGGAAATTAATGATGGTTGATTGAGGGAATAGGTGGAATAGTTAAGACAATAGGGAAATCATTGGATGGAGAATTTATTGAGTGATGAAAGAAAGCCGTGGGGTGGCGGTGGTGTAGTGGTTGCGAGCGGTTGCGGATCAACTTGAATTTCCAACCCCTCAGTGTGAAACTCGTCGCGAAGCCTCCAACACATGTCGAATAAATATCGACAAGTACGAGCAATCATTAACGATTTATCGGTTATCAGTGCCTGGAATTCGTCAAACATCCCTCACCGAGTTGCCACTAATAAATTCAATTCCTCATCCCTTCACGACTCATCAAAATAATTCAGTGATGTTTTTCTGTTATCTATGAACTATTTCCCTGGACAATTAAGTGATAGATACCTTGGATTCGTGTTTTCTGTGTGTGGAAAAATAAATCGGTAAGTTACACCCGAAAAATATTCAATTGTACAATATAATTGACGAAAAATGGAACCGCCGATTTCCGCGATTTTCACTCGCTCTCGGTTTTCCGTGAATATCTCGGAATTCAAGGGCGATATCGAAATTTTTATTACGACCTTTTTTACCCCTCTTGATCCCTTTTACAAAAAAGGTCATTACGGAAATTTCGATATCTGTCTTGGATCTCGAGATAATTCGACGATTTATCGTTTTGGTACGGGAATGAATTTTGAAATCGGTCGAAAAATATTTTTTTCTCACTGGAAAAAAATATATTTCGATGGATTTATTGCAAAATATTTTAGAATATGCGGAATTTGGGATTATGCTTTTTTTTGGGGTGGGAGAGAAATATTTAGCCTGGAGTCCTGCAGGGCGATCCTTATCACTGACTCGTCATTGTGTAAATTTTATCAGAGCGTGAATTGATAATGGGGTGTCACGGGGTGGGTTGTGGACATCCAATCGATTGCACGTGCGTTCACTCTGAAAATAATTTTTTCAAATCCCCCTTTATTTATTATACCCTTAAAAAATTCAATAGCGAATCCATAAAACGAGACCGTCGGATTTTACAGTCAATTTAAATATTGATTCACATATAAACTATCGGTTTTAGAAGGAAATACTAAAAGACCTTTTTTGTAGGAAATTCAATTAACTATAAAAAAGT